GACTATCCAGCCTCTCTTTGGACCCTCACTTCATGAGGCAATCTATGCCTCTTTATTGATAGGTATCGCTTGCCATTAGACAATTAATCCTAATGACATTCCGTAAACATACCACTCCATTACTCATGACCCCATACATTAAAAATATTGGCATACAAAAAGGGCAGTTTAAACTGAACCCCAGAACCATGGTGCCCCAATGGTTAGAATGCAGTATTGCAGGTTAACTCTGCCCACAGCTAAGAGTTCGATCCTCACCGGCTCAAGGTTGACTGAGCCTTCCATCCTTCCAAGGTCAGTAAAATGAGGGCCAGATTGTTGGGGGTAATAGGCTGACATTTATAAACTGCTCAGAGAGTGCTGTAAAGCACTGTGAAGCGGTACATAAGTTGCTATTGCAATTGCTGTTGTATAGCATTTTGGATTTAAAGGGCAATGTGTGATTACAAGGGGGCAGAGTCATATCTTAAATCCATTGTCATGGTTCCAATAGATGAGACCAGTAGAAATAAGAACTCTGAGGCAATTGCTTCCTCAAAGAACAATTTTAATGGCTACATAAGATCAGCACGAACAAAGGTGAAACCAAGACTGAAAGTCCCCCCCCCCAAGGTTACAAAGTAGAAGTTAAACTCCCCACCCCTAAATGTGTCATAACTCACAATCCCCAATTAACACCGTTGGCGGGCTCTCTAATAGTAGCTCCAGCCCGCCAAACATTAAGGTAACTTGACCTTGGTTCCCACAAGAAAGTTATTGTTATGACTAAACTAAAAGAATGCATCTTCCCTTTCCATTGCTGTGGCAACCAAAAAATGAAGAAAGATGGCTGTAGCCAGAGTAGTTTTGAAGGTTTGACAGCTTTCTTTTCCTGAGAACATGTGCCAGCTGTGGAGGGCAGCCACCCATGCTCACAAAAAGATACAGCTGCTTTGAGGTGCTCCTGACATGCTAAATGCATGGCCAAGTAACCGTTAGATCACATTTGAATCCTGATTTCTGCACACTTTACTCACAGGAAATAAGGGTGTCAAACAGAGTGAGAATTTCTTGGGAAGAACACCTGATGACACAAATATCAGATGATTTTTAAGATTCCCTTCAGTTGGCATCCTGTCTCATGCACGTTGTAGGAAGGTCTGATTGCTTTAGGACATTGCGCAATTCAGCCCAAATGGGAGTTAATGAAATCTGGAAATACAATCACTCAAGTGCCTCACAGCTTCTCTGATCTTTGGCGCTGGACAAGTCAATGTTTACAATTGTCACTGGCTTCAGAGCCAGGCTCTTTGCTCACAGAGGCAGGATGTCATGGGTTTTCATCGCCAAAAGGGACGGCTGAACCACTTTATAATAACAAATGATGTTGAAGGCTGAAGCTTATTCTTGGCACTGGATATTAGAAACCTGAAAGCAATATTGGTCCCACATTTACATCTGTGTTCTAGAATTTTCTAATCAGAGAGTTGGCTCTCAAAGTAAGAAAAGGGGGGGGGGAATGAGGACATTTAAATCCAATTATCTTACAAAGCGGAAATATTTAAGCATGATAATGGCCTATGTAATAACCTGGAAGATTCTGCAATCAATTTCTTTATGCCTCTGTCACACAGGTGTCAAATCCATCAGACCAATGCCTAAGTATATAGTACGGCAATTTGATTTGGACACTAAAGTCCCTCCAAAACTCTATAAAATTGGGATAACATCTATTACATAACAACAATGAAATAAGCCTCATCAAAAAAAACTCACACTCACACTCAAGCAATTTTAAAAGGACAGCACAGAGATTTTGCCCTTGCAATAGTGTAAAGAAAATAAGAGAATCACTTAAATCAGGGGTCTTCAAACTTGGCCCTTTTATGACTTGTGGACTTCAACTTCCAGAATTCCTCAGCCAGGGCACAGTGCCTGGCTGAGGAATTCTGGGAGTTGAAGTCCACAAGTCATAAAAGGGCCAAGTTTGAAGACCCCTGACTTAAATGATTCCAGCAGGAATCAGAAGATATGCACTAGATAGCAGAGAGTTGTGTAAAAATTCTGAGGCAACTTTAGAAGCCTTCTTCAGCTTCATTCATCAATTTGTTTAGCAGTTGTCTAATACTTTTATTTATAATGTTTTTAGGCATGATCTGTATACAAAATTTCTAGATTTGTAAATATCCATGTGACCACTAAGTGGCAGCAAAGAGACACAGGAAGCCATAATCCTTTACTAACAAGAATACTAAAATAGCCAATGACATATTTATAAAATCAGTAATAACAAAGTAAACAGTGTCTTTCATCCCATCTGGGGCCATGTACCCTGTTCTGACAAATCTAGAAATGTTTCTAACACATATTTTAAAGACATGCCAAAAAGCTAAAACCTCTATGACAGAGGTCTTCAAACCTGGCCCTTTTACAACTTGTGGACTTCAACTCCCAGAATTCCTCAGCCAGGCACGCTGGCTGAAGTATTCTGGGAGTTGAAGTCCACAAGTCATAAAAGGGCCAAGTTTGAAGACCCCTGTTCTATGACATGTTTCAACCTCTGGTTTATTTGTCTGTATTCTGCCTTGTATTTGTTTATACTGTATATTGTCTTTAAAGTATTCTGTTTTTTTTAAAGAAAGAAGCAGACTGGTTGGCACAGGTGTGGTGAGACAATCAGAAAAGTCAATATGGCACCCATGGCTGTGTGATCGAAACTCTGCCCCCATTTCATGCAACACACTCAGACAGGCACAGAAACAAACACACAAATGCAGTGGGCTTTGGTTATATGAGTATGGCTACCATCTTAATTTTTTTCATCTTGGCCCCTGCAGTGCTACTTCCTGTAGGAAGGTAGAAAATAGATACATCAACCTGTCACGGTACAATATCCTATTGTGTCTCTGTCCCAAGCAGAGTGCAGTTTGAAATAAAGCACTAAAAATAGTTGATGCCTGATGTCATTGCGGCATCAGCAAAGATCATTTTATTTGTCCAGGCCTCTGATATACTGATTATTTAAAATCTTGGGTTGATGACATTTTCTGCAGCTTTTTAATATGTGGATTGGGCTTTATGTGTCAACGCTGCTAACATCAGATGTTCTTGCTTTGACAATATATGAAGATACAGCCATTTTCTCTTTAACCTGTGTGTTACTTTTAGAGTTAGAATTAGATGGTGCTGGGGGGGGGAGGGGGAAGAATGTGTATGGGGATTAGTTAGACATAACAACATCACAGTAGAGTATTCTTCAAGGTTGTTTGAAATAAGAGATGATAAGAAATGGCGGGTTAGAAAACTGGAGGGAAGGTTTGCATTTCAAACTAATTGGAGAATGTGATTTATGACTGTTAATTGGAGGAAGGAATTGTGCTTTGATACTATGTGTTTAGGGGAGGGGAATTCAGATTCTGGCTTCGACCAGGTACGTGCCGATGCCATGCTACTTGAATAAAGATTCTTTAAGGTAAACAATGCCTCGAAGTTCTTTGAAGAGTATCATCTGTCGGAACCACGACATCATGTTTTTAAGCTATTAACAGGTTCTGGAAATACTGAACCATCAGCAAGATGGATGGATGGATGGATGGATGGATGGAGAGAGAGAGAGAGAATCTAAGAGAATCTAACTCTAAAAATTAGAGTTAAAGGTTGTCAAAGAGATGTAATGCCACATCTTTTTTTAAAGCGATTTGATGTTAAGAAAAGATAACAGCAGGTGTCAATGTTCTGTTGTTGAAAGGAAAAGTGGGAAGAGACCAAAGAACCCCTGTATAAGTTGGGTTACTAATGCAACCTCATCCTTATTTGGTCACACTTAAGATACCAGAATGAATTTAGCACTGGGAACTGTAGTATAAGATCCAACTATGTTGTCTTTTAATGGGAATTATAATTTAGAACCCTCAAAAGGGAGTGTTAACAGGGATATTAAAGAATTTGAGCCTTTCACGCTTCCTGTTGATAGAGGGCATCCTTTATCAGGGATGTCAAACTGCCGGCCCGTGGGCCGGACGCATCACGTGGAAGCCGCGCCCACCCCATTGTCAGCAATGGCAAAACAGTCCCGATACGTCGCGCGACGTCACGTGACGTCGTGAGTTTGACATGTCTGCTTTAGATGCTATAAAAATGGGGGGGGGGGAACTGAACTCTCCAACATCCCTCTCTTGATTATCATTAACCTTACATTAAGATTTAGGGTTATAGTTCTGTTCATCTTCTGCCAGATTGCAGGAATTTCTAAAGCCACTATGAAGCCTTCCCTATTTGGTTCCATATGAAGGAAAAGCAGGTTAGCGTCTTACTTTTAAAATCATTAACGTGGATTTTGATTTGTTGGACGGCACAGAGCCCTACAGGATGCCCACACGTACAGAACAATTTGCTATGATTTCCCCTTTTCTCCAACTCTGCTTTCTCCTCATTCAGAAATCGGCAGTGCTTCCTCAAAGTATATACACAACGGCAAATCTAAAAGGCGTTCTTTTGGACCAGGGGTCTTCAACCTTTTCACCCATTGTACCACTTTTAGGATATGGCAATATCCGAGTACCACCAGTCGCCTAGCAAGGTGTCAAAAACTTGATGACCAAAAAAAAAGAAAGAAAAAAGTAATAAAGTACAGGTAGTCCTCGACTTACAACAGTTTGCTTAGTGACTGTGCGAAGTTACAATAGCACTGAAAAAAGTGCCTCCCAAGCCACAGCCGATCAAGACACCTGCCTGCCCACCCGGCGGCGCTCTTCCTCCTGTCTGAGGTTTTTATTGCTGTGAGCATTTCTGTTGAGGATTGGCAGTGGGGGTGGGGTGAGGGGTGTTTGGTTTTTATTCCCCCCGTCTGCTGGGTGGTTGCAGCAAGTTTTGGTCACTTCACATGACCCTGGGACACTGTGATCGTCATAAATATGAATCAGTTGCCAAGCATCTGAATGTAAATCACAAGACCCTGGAGATGCTGCAACATTCCAGCTAATCGGCGCTTCTTCTGGGCTCAGCGGAAGCACCAGGATCAGTGCCGAGCTCCAGGTGGAGTCTGGCGCTGATCCTGGTGATTCCACTGAGCCCTGACAGCCCTGCAGCTCCAGCCATCTCTCGCTCAGGCTTGTGCGGTGCTGCCACTGGTTCAGCTCATTCCCCTCCCCTGCTACTTTTCTAGGATGGTCGCGTACCGCCTGCCAGGTGCCAATGTACCACAGGTGGTACCCGTACCACTGGTTGAAAAGCCCTGTTTTGGACAATGCTATCCAGAGGTGATACTAAGGGACATTAATATATTAGTCAGCCCTCACCAGGGCTCTTTCATGATATAAATCAGGAGGGGGAGGAGGAGGAGGAGGAGGAGGGCAGGCCTCACCTTGTCAACAAGGAAGGGTAGATGGCTACCGTGGCAATCCCAGCCAGTTTCCTGTAAAATATCCGGGGTCTGTCGCCTGGTTTGCCTGGAAATGCTGAAGTGAACCTGCCTCTTGCTAGCCTGCATATTGAGATACAGAGAGAAGCCCCCCTAGTTAACTGGCTGCATAACCGAATTTCCAGTTTACAGAGAAAAACACATTCACAAAATGACAGTGCTCATTTTAAACCGATTTAAGAAAAAAATGCTGTCTGGATATATAAATATAAAGTTATGGCAACAATAAAAATACGGTGGATTTTCCCCTTTTCTCTTTGCCTCAGACAAACGTTAATACCATTTCTCAGATCTGTTCTGAGGAAGCTCTTTCAGACCTACCTGTATCAACTGAGCTGCGGTTTCTGGACTTCCGTGCTGTAAGTCATGTCCGTTAATGGCTAAAACCTTATCGTTCTCTTGAAGTTCCCTGTCACGGGCAGCAAGGCCTCCTTCCAGCAGGTTGAACACGAAAACGCCATCTTCGTTGGCCTTACGGATCAACTTGATGCCCAGCTGTTGGTCTGGGTTGTTTTTGTTCAGAGTAACGTGCAAATTCTCATCCCTGTGGCAGGGAACGTCAGGGAAAAGTCCAGAATTCCCACAATGGTACCTTTGCTCTCTGAGCACAGTGAGACGGAGAACTTGACATGGTTGTCTCAGGACGAGCAAGGCGTAGCTGTGAGGCACACTTCTGATATCTATGCCATTGACCTGGAAGACAGAACAGTAGGTCAGCCATATCTAACTGAGGCGAAACTACATCCAACCATGTTGAATACTTAGATCAGGGGTCTTCAAACTTGGCCCTTTTATGACTTGTGGACTTCAGCTCCCAGAATTTCTCAGCCAGGCACGCGTGCCTAGCTGAGGAATTCTGGGAGTTGAAGTCCACAAGTCATAAAAGGGCCAAGTTTGAAGACCCCTCTTAGATGATTTCTTATTGCAGTGACAACTTCCATCACAGGTCAGGTCTGCCTCATACAACGCACCTTCTCTTAAACACCCATCCCTCACAACTTTCTTCCTGTCTTGCTGATTACGATGGCTATTATTTTATTTGTTTACTCATCAACGGAAAATTACAAACTCGAAGGAGAAAAATTAAAAATTAAAAAGGGACAGGGATAGGCACCGTAGTGCCCGTATGCACGCTTCCTTAGGGACCTCCTAAATATGGGGTGAGGTCCACAGAGGTTAAGTTAGAATTAAAACTGTGAAAGTTACCGAGACAAGTGAATCAGGTAATATATTCCAGACTTTGACAACTCGGTAACAAAAATGATTTTTTTTTTAATTTTCCTTAGACTAGTCCAGCAGCTCCTCGCTTATCCTACTCTGCCAGTCTGCAGGAACAGTTTTCTGTCCAATTTCTTCTCTAGAATCCATATCTATCCATATGTAATCGCTCAACGTTATTTGGATTACAATGGGAACTGCTTACCAGTCTTCTAAATTTAAATAAAAGGCACTCTGAGCTCTTCTCTTGGTTTCTAGACAGGACTCCTTTCTCAAATTTCTTCTGATTTATATAAAAAGTCATTTCCATTTTCAACGTTGTCACTTCCTTTTCTGGATTTTCCATCAACTGTATTTGTTGGTCAACTGAGCCCTCTGCCTTAATATTTGGTTGTCCTGCTTCTGTTATCTTCTGCATTGTTGGTTCTTTGGTTGTGGTCAAAATTTGGCTTTGTGCATCTAAGCTGGCATCTTGATCTTTTATTTTAGGTCTTATTTTATCACAAGCTAAGAGAACGGTTTCATGTATTGCTTTCAGCATAGAAAGAATCTTTTTCCAGACAGGACTTCTAATCCAACTGATACTTGAGTGAGTGGGAGTTACCTTGCAGAAGGTCTTGGGTTTAAATGTTCGGGAAGTCACATACCGTTGAAATGTCTCCCAACCAAAATATTTCATACCCATGATTTGTTTAAGCTGTTTTTGTATATTTTGCTAGGATATTTCCCCCTACCTCTGAGTGTGCTTCCAACGCTATTAAGAAAAATAAATAAAAGATCTAGCGATACAGTTTCACGGTATAGCAATTAACTCTCTGAGAAGGTTCGGTCAGAGATAACTTTCTCCCAACAACTACAGTTATTCTACTCGGCAATAAAACAAAAAAAAAAGTTGTAAAGAAGTTTCAGCAATAATGTTGGAGATAGAGGTAGATGGAGTATTTCTAAGTCCCCTAATCCAGACATGTCAAACACAAGGCCCGGGGGCCGGATGCAGCCCGCGACGTGGTTTCATGTGGCCCGCGAAGCTATCCTGGAAATAGTGAGGGGATGGCCACCGCTGCCTTGGCCCCGGCCCAAGCCGGCCGGGAACCAATGTACAATTTTGTGGTGGCCATCTATGTTGAAATGCATTCAGTCTTAGCTCCACAAGGCCGTCTGGAAACAGCGAGGAACCAGCCCCTGCCGCATTGGCCCCGTCCCCTGGGTGCATGCTGGGGAGGTGTCACCCTTTGTGAGGAATGAAGAAATGCACCATCGCCTGGAAGTGGCCAGCAAATGGCCCTCGCTTACTTCATATATCTGGCTTGATGGGCTCCGGGGGAGGGGTTTTGGCAGGCTCTTCCAGTGGACCATGCCTTGGCACTTGCCCTGGTCCCACCTCCTTCTGCCAGAGACCCTCAGATCTGTCCCACTCCTGCCAGGCCCCCACAGGCACCCTTGACGCGAACGATGTAGAGCTGGCCATGCCTACCCAGTAGGCCACACCCACTCCAGCCATGCCCACCCAGTAGGCCACGCCCACCCTGTCCACACCTACCCAGGCCCCCGAGGACAACCGCAATGCTGATGCGGCCCTCAATGAAATTGAGTTTGACACCCCTGCCCTAATCCTAAAGAAATGTATTCATGCTGCAGTGCCAGAGAATGGGTTTATTCTTCTATACAGGTAGTCCTTGACTTACAGCCACAATTGAGCCCAAAGTTTCTGTTGTGAGACATTTCTTAATTGAGTTTTACCCCCATTTTACAACTTTCCCTGACACAGTGGTTAAGTGAATCACAGCGGTTGATAAGTCAGTAACCTGGTTGTGAAGTGAATCTGGCTCCCCCCATTGACTTTGCTCGTCAGAAGATTGCAAAAGGGGATCAGGTGACCTTGGGACACGTCAACGGTCATAAGTATGAACCCGTTGCCAAGCGTCTGAATTTTGATCACATGATCGTGGGGGATGCTGCAAAGGTCGTAACTGTGGAAAAATGGTCATAAGTCACTTTTTTTCAGTGCTGTTGTAACTGGGAACGGTCAGTTAATGAACTGTTGTAAGTCAAGGATTACTTGTCTACTGCCTCCCTTGATTTTTGAAACAGGAATTGCTTATTGTCACTCCTGCCTCGGTTCCCTCCAGATTGGATTACTGCAAAGTGGTCTACGTCAGAGGCCCCCAACCTTTGTGTGTTTGTTTTCCAAGCCAGACCTCAGACTGGAAGCCCTTCTTGAAAGCTGGGCCTACAATTCTTCCAGCCTCTTTATTCCCCGCCCGCTTCCTTGAACGTTTACCTTCAGGATCATATCTCCTGGCAGTAGCCTTCCATCTTTGAAAATGATGCCGTCTCGATAGATGTGTTGGATGATTATGTGAATCAAAGGCGTTTCGCTGCCACCCACTACTCTGATGGCCAGGCCTTCATGGGGATGGCGGCGGTTGATCTTAATACTGGTAACTTCCCCGTCTGGAATGAGATGATATAGCCTTGGAAAGGCTGAAACAAATGCAGAAAAGGGTTGGGTTTGAAATGAATGCCTTTTGTTCTTTTTTAACGCAAGAACACAAAACATGATACGCTTCTCTTGTGGAAAACGAAAGGACTCTTACGAATTCCAGAGGGTTTTAGCAGAGAGGTTTATTGCGCAGGTTCAGAAGCAATAGCGACAAGCAATTCTGAACCCTGAGGGCGGGTTCAGACTTCAGTTTTATACTTTCCTTTTCTCAGGAACAAAGGAATACACATTGAAATGCACATTGTAATACATTAGGTTCGTTTCTCACGGGTATACAATGGAGGCTTTGCTACATACATTGTATCCATGCGTAATGCGCATTAGGTTAGTCACATACTACTGACACAGCACTATTCTAGTATTTGTTCATTATTCCACTTTACTTCCACAGTTGTTTAGAGTTAGATCTCGAGAGATCTGGTACTTACTAAAAGGTGCACAGGTCAACGTATGACCACAATCGAGGCTAAAATTTCTGTTTGCTAAGCGAGACAGTTGTTAAGTCAGTTTGCTCCATTTAGCGACCTCTCTTGCCGCAGTTGCTAAGTGACCCATCGTAGTTATTAAGTTAGTAAGTTAAGGAGTTCTTAAGCAAATCTGCCCATTGATTTTGCTTTTCAGAAGGATGCAGAAGGGGATCACGTGACCCTGGGACACTGCAACCGTCATAAATGTGAGTCAGTTTGCCGTGTTTCTGAATTTTGATCATGTGACCATGGGGATACGGTCATAAGTGTGAAAAACGGTCGTAAGTCACTTTTTTCAGTGCTGTTGTAACTCCAAACAGTCACTAAATGAATGGCTGTAAGCCGAGGACTACTTGTACTAGGACAAAGAGCAATTTCGTGTTCAAACAATGGAGCACAGCAGAACTATATTCCAAAGTGATTGCTTTAATATTTATTTTTGTATCGATTTACTATAGTAAAAAGAAGAAAAAGGAGAAAAAAATAGAAATACGCAAAAACCGATAGAAAAATGAAACACTATACAGCAGGGGTCCCCAACCCCCAGCCCATGGACCAGTACCGGGCTGCAGCATGCCAGCAACCGGTCCGCACAAACAAGCAAAGCCCCATCTGTGGGATGCAGGCAGCACACAAAACCCCGCACTCTCCGGTCCGTGGAAAAACCTTTCGCCACGGAACCGGTCCCTGGTGCCCAAAAGGTTGGGGACCTCTGCTATACAGTAAACACGTCATACATTACATAAAATAAATAATTCTCCCTAGTTTTCACTACTCAGGGTAGGAAAAGCATTAGTAATGCATCTGATGAAAATGGAGATCGTGGTGGGAGCTTCAAGATGTTGCATGTATGATTCAGTTCTTACACGAATAACGCTTTTGATGATCAAATTCAAAACGACTCATTAATTTCAGTGCAACCATTCTGACATTTGGCTATGAAACGACGCTATCGTGACCAACAAGGGTTTCCTAATCAGTGCCAGAGTCAGTCTTAAGCCCACGATTCTATTCATAGCATCCTTATCTACCTGAATCTGGTAGACGAGAAGGACGAGGGGGGACATGATAGCAGTCTTCCAATATCTCAGGGGCTGCCACAAAGAAGAGGGAGTCAAGCTATTCTCCAAAGCGCCTGAAGGCAGGACAAGAAGCAACGGGTGGAAACTCATCAAGGAGAGAAGCAATCTAGAACTAAGGAGAAACTTCCTGACAGTGAGAACAATTAACCAGTGGAACAACCTGCCTCCAGAAGCGGTGAATGCTCCAACACTGGAAGTTTTTAAGAAGAAACTGGACAGCCATTTGTCTGAAATGGTATAGGGTTTCCTGCCTGAGCAGGGGGTTGGACTAGATGACCTCCAAGGTCCCTTCCAACTTTATCATCATTATCATTACTGCTTTTTCCAGCAAAGGAAAGATCCTCCTGGCTGTTGCATATTTTCCATCGCCTCCTTAAACTTCCACTGTTTACGTGGGGATCAACTGCAAATGCCACCTTAGATATAGTTTTTCTCCTTTGCTGTTTCTAATCTTACTTGATACCTTTTCTGCAAATGTTCATATTTTTTTTCAGTAGGGATGTGAGATGGCTGAGTCTGTCAACAATGCCAAGAAAATGCCAGGGTTTTTACAAACACGATTCGGGAAAAATTACTTCTGATTCACACAAACACAGCATCTCTATGCAATTGTTTATTCTATTTGTATCCCACCCTTATTATTTTTAACAAATCACTGGAGGTGGTGAACATATCCAACACACCTTCCTTCTCCTATTTTCTCCATAACGACAACCCTGTGAGGTGGGTTGGGCTGAGAGAGAGAGAGAGAGAGAGAGAGAGAGAGAGAGAGACTGGCCTAAAGTCACTTAGCCAGCTTTCATGGCTAAGGCAGGACTTGAACTCACAATCTCCTGCTTTGTAGCCTGGTGCTTTTATCGTTAAACCAAACTGGCTGTCCTAGTCATGAAATTCATGAGAGTAGCAGAACTTTTTTTTTCAAATGTAGTTTTGAATTTTCTTTTTTTTTTCTTAATTATATTTCGCCAATACAAATCTTTTGAAATCTACCAGCACCTTGAAAAATTCTAAGTAATATTTTACTTAGATTTTTGTACCCCCCACCATCGCTTCAAATCCTTACTTGAAGACAGATTACTACAAAGTTAGAAGAGTGGATTTGCCGTCTTGCTTATAGATCAGGATTGCTTTTTCCTGATTTTTCTTGAACCTGAGGTATTATGAAGGGTGGGCAATGAGGAAAAAACTAGCCAAAGTGTAAAATATGCCCTCACATATGAGATTGTACTAAATTAATCATGGCATTGATATTTTCCATCATACATTTATTGCTGCAAGAAATTTTTATTACTATGTTTGCCTAAAGCAGGGGTAGGCAGCCTTGGCTCTTTTATGACTCGTGGACTTCAACTCCCAGAATTCCTGAGCCAGCCATGGCTCAGCTTGGAAACCTCTCCCCTTCTCCTCAGCATGGCTGGCTCAGGAATTCTGGGAGTTGAAGTCCACGAGTCATAAAAGAGCCAAGGTTGCCTACCCCTGTCCTAAAGATATCAACTGCTATCTGTGCTGGCAATAATAATAATAATGTTGGAAGGGACCTTGGAGGTCATCTTGTCCACCCCCTGCTCAGGCAGGAAACCCTATACCTCCAGTCTCTTCTTAAAAACTTCCAGTGTTGGAGCATTCACTGCTTCTGGAGGCAGGTTGTTCCACTGGTTAATTGTTCTAACTGTCAGGAAGTTTCTCCTTAGTTCTAGGTTGCTTCTCTCCTTGATTAGTTTCCATCCATTGCTTCTTGTCTTGCCTTCAGGCGTTTTAGAGAATAGCTTGACTCCCTCTTCTTTGTGGCAGTCCCTGAGATATTGGAACACTGCTATCATGTCCCCCCTCATCCTTCTCTTCATTAAACTAGGCATACCCAATTCCAGCAACCGTTCCTTATATATTTTAGCCTCCAGACCTCTAATCATCTTTGTTGCTCTTCTCTGCGCTCTTTCTAGAATCTCAACATTTTTTTTACATCGTGGTGACCAAAACTGGATGCAGTATTCCAAGTGTGGCCTTATCAAGCCATTATAAAGTGGTATTAACACTTCACTGGATCTTGATTCTATCCCTCTGTTAATGCAACCTAACATTATATGTTGGCTTTTTTGGCAGCTGCAGCACACGGCTGGCTTATATCTAAGTGATTGTCCACTAGGACTCCGAGATCCCTTTCGCAGTTGCTACTATTGAGCAAGGTAGCACCTATACTGTACCTGTTCTTTTGTTTTTTCTTGCCTAAATGTAGAACTTTACTTTTTTCACCATTGAATGGTGTATGTCTACTTTGCTTGTTTCCAACTGCACTCAATATGAATAGATGGCAACTGAACAGGACTACCTTTATAAACAAACAATAGTCTTTAGTGTAGCTGGTTTGACATGGGGACTTCTTAGGCTTAGAAATTTTGGACTGCTTTGTTCCTTGGTGGTTTTGCCTTTCTACCCAGACCTCGATAAAAAGGATGAATCTGGATTTTTACTCTTGGCATACATGCGTAGTGTATAGTGTCAGATAACGTATGCCTACACATAAATTGGAACAAGGTCAACAGCTACCAAAAGGAAAGTTAAATTAATACTTGCAGTTAAACATTTGAACTGCAGCTGACCTCCGTGAAAACATGAAATAGGAAGTATAATTTTAGAAACAGCCTACTCCTGAACCTTGACAAGATTAAATGAATACCAATCATAATGGATGCAGAGGCCTCCAAAAAGTAGATGATAACAGCTGACAGCCAAAAGGCATTTGGACCCTACTGAAGTATTATTCTCTTTAAAGTCTAGCTCAACAGGAGTTCTCTGTGTAAAACCATCAATTGTGCAAACAGCAGAGCTATAATGAGGCTCAGTTTTGATCTGCCATTGATTCTTCAGAGCAGATGGGCAACATGTATCATTCATTTGAGGAGCTGAACGTTCAAAATGTGTGGATCCTTTGAATCACTTTGAATCTCTTTGTGGTCCAGCTTGTTCGCCCAATTTCTTAGCATATGTGCAAGTTGCCCATAAACTCAGTATTAGTTCTGATAGACCTTGGGCTGTAAATCAAGACTGCACACCCTGCTTTGCACACACGCAATTAAAGATTGAGTGTGGGCATAAATTCATATTTGTTCAGTGCACGTAGGAAAATTATTTCTGAATTTTTTCAGCGAATGGTTTTCTTTTACTTTTTTTTGTAAAATTCCTATTAATTACAAAATTGCTTTGAAGAAATTAAAACTAAGCGAGGAACTTAGCATTTAATTTTCAAAGAAAGGCCACAATAAGGTGGAAAGCCTTAGCTGATTTTGGATGATCAAAAAGATGGAACATAGAATATAGAATAATAAGTTTGGAAGGGACCTTGGAGATCTTCTAGTCCAGCTCCCTGCCCAGGGCAGGAGATCCTATACCAGGGGTAGACAACCTGGGCTCTTTTATGACTCGTGTACTTCAACTCCCAGAATTCCTGAGTCAGCTATGCTGACTCAGGAATTCTGGGAGTTGAAGTCCACGAGTCATAAAAGAGCCCAGGTTGCCTACCCTTGTCTTATACCATTCCAGACTTTCTTTGGGCTTGATGCGATGGATACATGTAATCATAGAAAGAATAACAGAACAGAATAATAGAGTTGGAACAAATCTGGAGGTCCTCCAGTCCAAATCCTTCCCCCCCAAACCAGGACACCCTATATCATTTCAAACAAATGGTTGTCCAGTCTCTTCTTAAAAGCTTCCAATGATGCAGCACCCAACAACTTCCAGAGGCAAGTCGTTCCACTGGTTAATTGTTCTCACTGTCAGGAAATTTCTCCTTGGTTCTAGGTTGCTTTTCTCCTTGGTTAGTTTCCATCCGTTGCTTCTTGTCCTGTCCTCAGGTGCTTTGGAGAATAAGGTGACTCGTTCTCTGTGATAGCCCCTCAAATACTGGAAGATTGCTATCATATCACCCCTAGTCTTCCTTTTTGTTAGACTAGACATTCCTAGTTCCCTCAATCATTCATTGTACAATTTAACCTCCAGGCCCCTAATCATCTTTGTTGTTCTTCTCTGCACTCTTTTCAAGATCTCAGCATTTTTTGTACTGTGCTGACCAGAACTGAATGCAGGCTTCCAGGTGTAGTCTCACCAGTACAGTATAATGCAGAACTACTGTATCACTTCATGTGATACTATCCTAGTTTAATGATACTAGTTAAATGAAGAGAAGGATGAGGGGGGACATGATAGCAGTGTTCCAATATCTCAGGGGTTGCTACAAAGAAGAGGGAGTCAAGCTATTCTCCAAAGCGCCTGAAGGCAGGACAAGAAGCAATGGATGGAAACTAATCAAGGAGAGAAGCAACCTAGAACTAAGGAGAAACTTCCTGACAGTTAGAACAATTAACCAGTGGAACAACCTGCCTCCAGAAGCTGTGAATGCTCCAACACCGGAAGTTTTTAAGAAGAGACTGGACAGCCATTTGTCTGAAATGGTATAGGGTTTCCTGCCTGAGCAGGGGGTTGGACTAGAAGACCTCCAAGGTCCCTTCCAACACTATTATTCTATATTCTATCTCTTCCCTTCACTCTCTCTGTCTTCAGTGACTGCCTGGAAATATATAGTGTTGAGTACTAAATTTGTTAACAACCATCAGTGAAACTCAGTGCTAATGAAAACAGCATTTGCATTTTCTTTAGCTGGCAATAGATATAATGTGAATTCGCATTTTGGTCTGAAGCCCATTTTTTCTGTCCTTTCATCCCAATGGTCCATAACATGCATGTAGAATTATTATTATTATTATTATTATTATTATTATTATTATTATTATTATTATTATTGATCATCGCACAGTCAGCCAAATGTTCAGACTGAATTTGGCATTTTTGTCTACCCATCGAGTCCTTCCCAAGGACCTGGGATAGGCAGATGTGGATGTTTGATGGTATTACAGATATCGTCGCAGGATGGAAGCAGTTCCTAGTAAGGTCGCCTTTTGCAATTGACTAATAGCGAATTTGTCAATGCCAATGGTGTTCAAGTGGTGCTCCAGTTGTTTTGGGATTGCACCCAAGGCGCCCATTACTATTGGTACTACCCTTGCTTGCCTTTGTCACAGTCTCTCTATTTCTATTTGTAGGTCTTTGTATTTTGTTATCTTCTCCAGTTCTTTCTTGTCTGTTCTGCTGTCTCCAGCCCACTGCCACGTCCACTATCCAGACTTTTTTGTCTTTCTTATCGACAATTGTTAAGTCCAGGGTGTTATGTTGCAGGTGCTTGTCTGTTTGAATTCTGAACTCCCAAACAGACAGTCGTCGTCGTCGTCATCATCATCATCATCATCATCATCATCATCATCATCATCATCATCATCATCATCATCATCATCATCATCATCATCATCATCATCCCCCTGTTGATGCAGCCTAGCTAAATGTTCTAGGTTTCCAGGCTAGCACGGGAAGTAAAAGAAATAGTGAAAGGAAAGAGCAACAACGTCTGTACCACTGTTGCAGAAAATTATCTAGCTGGATCCAATATGTCTTCAGCCATTAAGCTTCATTCATGGGGGACGTTATCTATATAAATAAAAATGTAAATGTTCGTTTGTTCAAAATCTTAAATCTCTGAAAGTTCTTCACCAATTGCTTTGAAATTTTGACACAACGTTGCATTCAAATACGCGCATGTTTTTATATACCTATATTATATAGATGTCACACCTGTGACAGGTAAAACATGCTTTTTTGAAAAACAGTGCCATCTGTTGGACATAAAAGCAACACATGCTTTTACCAGACTGAGCCACAGCAACGCGTGGCTGGGTACAGCTGGTTATTTTACTAAAAAAGAAATCACACAGTATAATCTAAATAAATAAGTTGGAAAAAAACGATTACCTGCCTGTGAAGCAATCAGATTTTCAACATTTTCTCGTTCCCGTTCAACATGGTTAGCCACAGCACTGCCACTTTTTGTCCTTCGAAGGACATTGAGAGCTCTGTTTATCTTTTTAAAAGACCTGCTTCGTACAGTAGAACGCTCAAACTGTGAAGCTGTGGCTGAAGAGGAAAACGGAGAATATTCAGGCTTGGGCTGAATAGTAGAAAAATCTTACTTATTCTAAACTAAGGTTGCTAAATGAAGATAACCTAGAAGTAAGAAAACCTTAAACCTTATTCCATCATTGCACAAGAGTCTTAGTATATGTTAGCCAGTGGAAAGTCAGTGAAACGTAGTAGCTTGGTGTTAGAAATTCTGTTTATATAAAGCACCACACAGAGCAAACAAAGAGTACAGTCACCATGTGCTTTACATCTCAACTATTTTACTGTAAATAGGAAACAGGAAACTCTACTCAGAACAAAAGAACATAGAGTATATATATACCATAGATCCAGACTTGTAAATACTGCCATCTACTGGCTAAATACTACTGTAGTTGTTGCATAAAAATACATTCCAACAATGAATTCCAACACTTGAGTATTAGAATTGGACAAAAAGTAGGTTCAAGTTCACACTTGTTCAGTGGGCGTTGCCAAGCCACACCTGTCTTTTAGGATATTGTACCTCTCTCTCATAATAGTCATAAAAATGAAGGAGAATGCTATGTAAAACTGTGTGGAGGAAACTGAATGGATGAATGAATAAATGAATGAATGAATAAATGAATGAATGAATGAATGAATAAATACATTCCACACTAATTTCCAAAAGTAATGTCTTGCAATGACATAGTAGAATGTTATTTTGACCATCGTCAATAATAGAAGGATGGGAATATATGCTACAGTCAAAGTTACCAAATGTGTATTTAAAATATATTAAATTAAGAAAAGGTCCTTGGAAAGAAAGTTATGATACTTCCTCCAAATGCACTAGAATAGCCCCTTATCCTTCATAACAATTCCACAAATTTCAACACAATTCTTTGAATAATATATACTGTATATGAGTATTATGGATGTTCAAGAATTCTGCTTAGTCTGCATTTCAAAGTGGAACTGATCAGATGTGCACCTCAAGAAAGTTAGAATGCAGATCTGGTTTGCATTTTGTACTTCTCCAAATTTTGGAAGGCAGTTCTTAGCTCAGAGAAACAACAACATTCAAATAAAAAATGTGAACTTCAACTGTTAGTGGCATTTGGAATGAACTTTCAATTTGTCCAGTCTTTTGTATAGGCAACAAATCAACTTGGAAGAGGGTGTGACCTCTTAGAGCATGATTTTGAAGACCCATGGGGACTATTAACAAAAGGAGAGGCTGCCAAGTGATTTATCTATTTCTTATATTGTTATATTTAAATCCCACCATGTCTTCAAAGGTTTGTAGGGGTTTTCCTTTATTTTATTCTCAAAACAGCCTTGGAAAATGATTAGGGCTAAGAGAAAGTGTAACCAACCCAAAATCACTCAGTGAATTCCCTCAGATGAGGGAATTGAATCTGAGTTTACCCTGTCCAACTTCTTAAACCATCACACCATATTGCTTCATACAGTATATATATATATATAAGAACAGTATATATAGTATATATATATAAGCCTATCAACCAACTTTAGGCTGTGTAGAAAATGGGAAAGAATGATGTAGTGGTACGTGATTAGGCTTAAATAAATTAAGAATGTATTTTATATTGTTAGATGTCAGATAGAAAGCATATACCGTAGGCGTAGAGCAAACAGAGAAGAGGGCATCGTACAATTAAATGCAAATTTCTTTGTAATGTCTGAAAGATAAGAGGAGACCTATTCTTTCAAAGTTTCAAAGGTAGTTTTAATGCTAGAGTCCATTTGGTGTGCAGCCTAGGACCATAACTGAGCCCAAAATTTCCGTTGTTAAGTGAGACATTTCTTAAGTGAGTTTTGCCTCGTTTTATGAACCTTTCTTGCCACAGTTGTTAAATGAATCACTGCCGTTGTTAAGTTAGTAACATGGTTGTTAAGTGAACCTGGCTTTCCCACTGGCTTTGCTTGTCAGATGGTCACAAAAGGGGATCGCATGATCCCAGGGCACTGTGACCGTCATAAAAATGAGTCAATTGCCAAATGTCTGAATTTTGATCACAATGATCATGGGGATGCTGCAACGGTCGTAAGTGTGAAAAATGGTCATAAGCAGTGCTTTTTTTCTAAAAAAAAAAAAAAAAAGTGCCGGAACTCACACACGTCATACAACCCGCCTTGCGTACCCTACAAGGTTCCATCCAAAAAAGGTGCCGGAACTCCATTCTGGGCGTTCTATGAGAAAAAAAGCCCTGGTCATAAGACACTTTTTTCAGGGCCGTTGTAACTTTGAACGGTCACTAAATGAACTATTGTAAGTCAAGGACTACCTGTTAAGGCACCAGACTAGAAATCAGGGGACTGAGTTCTACTCCCATCTTAGGCATGAAGCCAGCTGAGTTTATCTGAGCCAGTTACTTGCTCTCAGCTCTAGGAAGAAGGTAGAGACCTGGTGTAGGCAACCTTGACTCTTTTATGACTCATGGACTTCAACTCCCAGAATTCCTGAGCCAGCATGGCTCAGCTTGGAAACCTCTCCCTTTCCCCTCAGCATGGCTGGCTCAGGAATTCTGGGAGTTGAAGTCCACCAGTCATAAAAGAGCCAAGGATTGTATAGACAATCCTCCCTTCACACTGGCGATTGGGATGGTCTTAAAACGCAACATCAAGTGACTGCATTGACTTACGGTGGCCGTTGCAGCCATCCCAGTTGCCGTCCTTAGATGAATCCTACAGTCGCCACGCCCTGTTGTCACGTAACTGCCATTTGTGACTTCTTGCTGCCTTCCCCAACAAGCAATTGACTTTGTTTGTCGGAAGCTGTCAAGGAAGGGTGCAAATGGCAGTCATGTGACCACAAGATACCACAACCCATTGTAATTGTGAGCCAGTTGCCCAGTACTTGGATCGTGATTACTTGACCATGGGTAAGCTGTGATGGCCACAACTAAGAAGGAACAATTGTTAAATCCCCCTTGCTCAGTGCCACTGTGATTCTGAATGATCACGGAATGACTGGTCATTCAGCAAGGATATCTGTAAACGCTAACCATTTCTGACAATTTTGCCAAGAAAAAGATCTCCGAGATCTTTTCCAATTCTCTTATTCTCTTCTCTATATAAGGGTTTGCTTCAGAAAGTTGCTAGAAATCAGAATTGACTTAAAAGCACACACAAACGCCCCCCCCCCTTTCCTGGATCCTGTTTCATATATAAAATAATATAATGCATTTATAGACTTAAACATTCTCCACCTAATTAAATCAGAAGTCATTTTCATTACATGGATATAAGGATTTGATCCCGAATCATTTTTCTTCATGGAATAATTACTTCCCTCTCTTGGGTTTTTTTAAAGTTTTAAATTCGTTTCTTTATTTTGGCTTATAGCTGCATTTTGCACATTTATAATGCACCGTGTTGCATATAAATAGTGCAAAATGTTTCCTGGCTTACTGATTTAAGCGAAATGCGGCCATTTAGAAACAGGCTTGCTGTATCCGAGATGCTTCCCCGCTGGGGTTCTTACTTCTAGATTGCTGGCTTATATAAAGACGGGTGGGGTTGGTTCCTGGTGAGTTGTCCTCAAAATTGGCATTGAAGGCAGGGTTAATTAGCCCTGGTTCATCTGTCATTAAGGCAATTGTGGCGGCAGCAGAGAACTCAGATCCAAGGGCAGGCACTGTTAAAGCAGCATTCAAATCAGCAGATCCAGCTGGCAAAGTTCTCTTTCTCTCCTTGGTGAATCCATAGTGAGAAGCCCCTTTGCACCTAAGGAAAATTAAAGACGACAGAACTTAAACAAAGCAAAAACTGCTCAGACGAACGGAGACAGGTAACTTCGTTCAGAAAGTCAAAATTTGGGGTGGGGGAAAAAAAATGAGACTGAACTAGTTCCCCATTTTTAGTTTCCTGCACCGTGCCCAAATGAAGAAGCATTGAGAAGTTTAGCGGATTACACACTTCTGTTCCCTGCGTGGTTTTGCATTGAAGAGGCGGTAGTATTAAACAAGTACTTCTTTATTGGAAAGTCAGAACGGGAACTAACAATGATGGCTCCGCCCCTATTTATACATTCAGCTTTGGGCGGTGTCAAGCCAATGAATGCAACGTATTCTCCCGCTCAAATGCATACTAATCATCCCTGTAGACAGCAAGTCTGGCTAGCAGGCCCCGTGGTCTGCTAACGCAGGGCTTTTCAACCTTTTCACCCATTGTACCACTTTTAGGATATGGCAACATCCGATTACACCAGTCGTCTAGCAAGGGGTCAAAAACATGATGAACAAAAAAAAAAAAAAAGGAAAAAAGTGATGAAGTACAGGTAGTCCTCGACTTACAACAGTTCGCTTAGTGACTGTTCGAAGTTACAATGGCACTGAAAAAACTGCCCCCCAAGCCACAGCTGAGCAAGACACCTGCCTGCCCACCCGGTGGCGCTCTTCCTCCTGTCCGAGGTTTTCATTGTTGTGAGCATTTGTTGAGGATTGGCAGTGGGGGTGGAGTGGGGGGTGTTTGGTTTTTATTCCCCCCGTCTGCTGGGTGGTTGCAGCAGGTTTTGGTCACTTCACATGACCCTGGGACGCTGTGACCGTCATAAATATGAATCAGTTGCCAAGCATCTGAATGTAAATCACAAGACCCTGGAGAGGCTGCAACATTCCAGCTGATCCGCGCTTCTTCTGGGCTCAGCAGAAGCGCCAGGATCAGCGCCGAGCTCCAGCTGGAGCCTGGCGCTGATCCTGGCGCTTCTGCTGAGCCCTGACAGCCCTGCAGCTCCAGCCATCTCTGGCTCAGGCTTGTGCGGTGCTGCCACCGGTTCAGCTCATTCCCCTCACCCGCTACCACTTTTCTAGGATGGTCGCGTACCACCTGCCAGGTGCCAATGTACCACAGGTGGTACCCGTACCACTGGTTGAAAAGCCCTGTGCTAACGGTCCCTGCACAGATCTCTGCAAACTGTTCCATAAGTTTTACTCAATACATTATAACACAGATCTACTTTTATCCAACTGTGAATACAAACGAAGTAGAGAGAGGTCACAGAGAGAGAGAATAGAATTGCAAAACAAATATACGAAGGAAGAAAGAACGAATGGGTCAAGAAGAAAAGGAAGGGACTAAAAAAGGGTGAGGTGGAATGGAGTTGCCAAGATCTTGGAAAAAGGGAGAGGTGAGAAGTTTAAAGAACAAAAAGCAGCTTGTGGAGAAACAGTGCATGAGTGTAGCGGAAGCCATGATAATTTGCAAGGGAGGGAAAATATGAAGAACAGGAAATGATGGTATAAATTAAATTCTAGTCACATTTCTTTTCTTTTTCTCTTATCTCCCTCCCTTTGTTTATTTTTCTTTCTTTCTTTTTTCACTCTTTTCTCCCGCACTTTGAGTAAGGGTTGACTCTGAAAGGGAGTTGTGTGATGGACAGGCAAGTATGTTATTATAACCAGCAAAGCTTGAGGGCAGGACATCTTTTCCTAGGCTTTAGCGGGAGTGGAAGAACAGGGAAAGATCCATCCCGTAAGGAGGGATTACATGATTAATTCACACCGAAAGCCTCCTTCTGCTAAAGAGATCGATTCGGGGAACACAGGCCTGTTTGTAGCTGTAGTTTCACTGGATCGGAAACAGCTAGCCTGGCAGGTGACTGATCCAAACAAAGGAGAGGGTTATAATCAGTGTTTTGTCTCTGGCTAATGAAAGAGGGGCAATGTGTGGCAAGAAGGCTTGATTGCGTCAGCTGATGTTTGAGGGAAGAATAAAGCCACTCATACTGGGGGTCTCCCAGTCCCCCACCATAACAAACAGGGACTGTCATAGCAGCCGTGACTTCACCAGGAGCCTGACAGCTGCCCGTCAGATTTGGGATTCCCATTGTTTTTCCAAAAGACCGTTCCACAAACAATTGGAAATAAACCTGTTTGCTTTGCAGAATTAGAATGCAGATTTAGTCTAGCTAACAAAGGACCCTTCCCCCCCCCCAAAAAAAATCAAAGGCTTATTTTTATGTTTCTTATTTCTTTCAACTTTTCAAATCACTTTTCAGCTCTGTTCTTCGTGAGGCTTCTATGTCTATTCTATTTTTATGTTTCTTATTTCTTTCAACTTTTCAAATCACTTTTCAGCTCTGTTCTTCGTGAGGCTTCTATGTCTATTAGAAGCGGTAAAAATATACACAGTCATTATTGCTCACCCAAATTCTCCTTTCCCCGACAGATTCTTAGATCCTGGATCCAATTTTAGGGCAGTGGTTTGCCCACTTACTCATTAATATCTTCAACTTTCAGTATAAGTATTCTTGGGATGTACGCCAGGTAGATATTTAAGCAACAAGTGCACAGAAGCAGAAGATAATAAGATAATCTACTAGACAGAAACCACCTGCAAAAAAAAATTGTCTTGCAGGCAAGGCGAATATCTGATGGGCTTCCTGTTGTGATCTCAAGGATCTGCAAAGTTGATCAGGAAGTTCAGAGATGCTAACTGGCCCTCAAGCTTGAAGGGAGTTTAAAACACTAGCAATTTGTAACTGGACCCCCCAAATAAACCGATTGCCACTAAATATATTTAATAAAAGAGTTTCCACGGAAAGGTCCTAGTCAACATGCTAATAGCGTTGTTTGGAACTCTGCAACGTTTTTAATCAATATTCAACATTAGCAGGGCAGATAGAGAACAGCATTTGAGAGAAATAAATTTGTTGCAGAGTTATCTCTATAGATCAGGGGTCTTCTAACTTGGCCCTTTTATGCATTGAGTCTATGGAGTATGGCAGTATTCTTTCTATCTTTATGGATTTCCATGTTATTTTTCAGAAGGTAACTTACTAGTTAAAGAACTGGTACATGAGATATATATATATTTTGCAACAGATTACTAAGAAGGAAAATAAAATGAAGACATATATACTGAGGTGTGGCTGCTTATGGCAATAACGTTTCCACAATTATGATGCAGGATAGGAAATGGGAGATATTAAAACGATTGTTCTTAAAACATAACAGCTTTCTTTCCAGGATTAATGGCCAGTATAATCTGATGGCTCTTAATATCATGCATATTTGAACCTGAAATTGGGCTATTAGATAATCCCTGAGGTGGGGTGGGGACTAGAATGCTAAATGATTTACTTTGCAATCCAGAGCGATGGTGCTACTAAGTCTACACTTTTTGTAGGAAGGTCTATTTTAGCCAATTTATCCACCCAGCAGAAGAAATAGAACTTGGAAGTATTCCATATGATAGAACAAGAGTTTCAAAAGCAATTTTTACTGCAGGAAGGAGAGACAGAAACTATTCAAAAGGTCAAAAGTGCCCAAGGCCTCTGGGTTGTCAGTATGGATGTTGCAACAGCTACAATCCTATACTTAATTGTGTTACTATCCACCAACCTGGACTGCTCTTTAGAAGGCCAGATCCTGAAGTTGAAACTCAAGTACTTTGGCCACCTAATGAGAAGGAAGGACTCCCTGGAGAAGAGCCTAATGCTGGGAAAGATGGAGGGCAATAGAAGAAGGGGACAACAGAGAATGAGGTGGCTGGCTGGAGACACTGAAGCAGTAGGCGTGAGCTTAAATGGACTCCAGAAGATGGTAGAGGACAGAAAGGCCTGGAGGAACGTTGTCCATGGGGTCGCAATGGGTTGGACACGACTTCGCAACTAACAACAACAATCCACCAACCCACCAACCATTGACAAAGTCTGTCCATAATGCACAAGGGGCTTCCCCATTGACTTTGCTTGTCAGAAAGTCACAAAAGGGATCACATGACCCCGGGACACTGCGACTGTCATGAATATGAGTCAGCCATCAACTGTCTGTATTGTGATCACGTGACCATGGGGATGCTGCAACCGTTGTAAGTGTGACAAACAGTCATAAGTCACTTTTTCCAGTGATGTTGTAACTCTGAATGGTCAATAAATGAATTGTTGTAAGTTGAGGACAACCTGTACATAAACTTTGGGCCCCATGTGCCTGCTGTTTCTTCTCCAGTGCATATGTAAAGTCAGAGGCATTTGTTTCTATATTTAAAAATAAATCATTATGTCTGAACCCAGAGCAACAGAATTGGCTTCTTTCCTTGAACCACAGTTCAAATTAACTTACTCCACAATTCAGAGGTAAAGATAAACCATTTTAATTTCTTGGAGAAGAGAGGAGAAGAAAGTGAGTAGCACTTGAGCCCAAGGTCAATAATTTTATTCCCTGACTTAGTGTCACTAGCACCATTATACTATCAGAACTATTTTGCAACTACAATAGTAATTATACTCAAGGCAACCAAATATGGCCACTAGATGGCTGCAACGAGATACATACGCTGTGAACTCTGTGTCCACCTTGTGGTCATCTAAAGTTTTGCAGTCTGGATCTAGGACCGGGCCACACAAACAAACAAAGCCCCATCCACAAGATGCAGGCAGCACACAAAACCACGCACCCTCCAGTCCGCCGAAAAACCTCTCTTCACGGAACCGGTCCCTGGTGCCCAAAAGGTTGGGGACCTTTGCTTTAAGGAATCTTGTCATAAAAGTTAATGGGTTTCTCAAAGCAGAAGCCCTGAAAAAGGGGAGCACAGAGCTGTTGTTGTTAAAGTTGTTGTTAAAGTTGAATAACGTCTGGAGAACTTTCTCCCAATCCTTTTTTAAAGAACGCCCAGCCCTGTTAGAAAAACTATACTCTTTCCTTCCAGATTCCCACTGCCTTTCTGGGCAAAGTTGTGGTAGCCACATAAGCTTTAAATTCTCCTTAGTACTCCTGGGGTGGGTA